ATTGAAATTAAAAAACATCCTAATTTTAATAGAGAGGGAGGCTGGGTACTACCACCTGCTTGGGATCCTGTAATTCATAAAATTAAAACTAATCCCAAGCATACCACTGCAAGACTTCAAGACACAGTTAGTTCATTCTGCGTAGATCGGACCAAAATTAATAATTAAAAAACTGACGGTACTCCGGGTTAACTTTGACATCGGGACGTCAATCACCTCAGTCCCCCGTGACCACGGTTGCTGGAAAGCAACCGAAACGTCGGGAATATAAAATAATTTAATTAAACGCGATAGAATCCGTAAAAGTAGTTTTATTCAAAGAAGACAGCTTTAGTGGACCAGATCTCTAAAAATTACCGAAAATCGACCGCTCAGACCTATCCAACGTGCTCTCCAAAATAATGAAAACCATTGTGAACTGCTAGCTCATGATGTTGAGGATCACCTACGGAAAAATGATCGCCAGACGATTTTCGTCGGGGTTGCGCAGCTGGTGATTTTCTGGCTTACCTGATTGGCGGAGGCAGAGAGGGAGAACCTGGCCGTTAGGTTGGACATAGCGAAGGCCTTCGATTGGGTTTGGCACAAAGCGCTTCTTTCGAAGCTCCCTTCCTATGGGCTTCCAGAAAAAAAGAAAAAAAGTGCAACTGGATAGGTAGTTTTCTTGCAGATTGGAGCAACAAAGTCGTAGTAGAAGGTGCATGCTCACTTACATGCTGGTGTTCTACAAGGTTACGAGCTATCACCTACGCTGTTTCTTCTGCTTATCAATAATATACTGCAAACCAGTAATGTGCAATGTTGATGCTTTACACACCGGCTGTACCTATACTTCTCGGGAACACATCGCCGAGTACCGGAACAAACTTGTGTCTGAAGTCGAGTCTTTGCCAGATAAGGTCTCAGATTGGGGCGACTAAATATAATTAAATTCAATGCCCAGAAGATACAAGTTTGCGCATTTACCACTAAAACGTGTGTCGTAACTCCTAATTTCAGGGCACTCCCCTTGTTACCTCAGCCAGTATCGAAATCTTCGGAGTTGACATATCGAATACGAAAGCTGGGCGTACTCAGCAGAGCGGGACAGTATTTTATGCCGGCACACTACTTAAAACTTTACAAGGGGCAGGTTCAGCCTAACATGGAATACTGTTCTCATCCCTGGCCCGGGACTCCCTAGTATTAGCTCCTTACACTTGACCGCATCCAGCGCAGAGTGGCTCGAATCGTCGACGTTCGACGAAGACAAAAGGCAGGACGAAGAGATGTTGCATCCCTTTGCATTTTCTATCGTATTTACCACGGACAGTGTTCAGAGGAATTCTTCGGATTAATTCAAGCCACAAAATTTCATCAACGCATTTCACAAATCCACATCGGGATGGTTGGCGGTCCACTACTGTCGGACCGATACGACTTAAGGGCCTTCAAGAAACGAGCTTCCTTTTTTTTTAAAAAGTCCGCAACGCGCCTGCTATTCCCCTGGTGTTGTATTTGTTAATAGGTGGTGATTGAGACTTGCCATCAGGTGAGCCACATGCTCGTTTGGCCCCTCTTCTATATAAAAATGACAATAAAACGAAGTAGACAATTATCTTTAACAATGTTATATTTAAGTTCTGAAGAAGAAGTGGGAGTAATTTTTCTGATTTCAGTTCGAGTCGTTCGCGGTCAGGTGTCAAAAAGTTAAAACTGTAAAATCCTTTATGCACATAGGATAGAACATAATTATTCGAACGTCGTTCTTGGAGGCCTTTTAGCTTGGAGGCTCCAGGGCCGAATCGACATCTTACAAAAATACCGCGTTGTTCAGTGTTTTTGCTTCAAAAAGAAATCTGCCAATATGCAAATTTACAAAAAGATGGCGTTTGGTTATGTTGTTTCGGATTTCTTTACCAACACAGGCCGTTCGCCATCATACAATGACTGTTCGCACTCATTCACTGAGCGATACTGTTATAATGTATCAATGTGTGTGTGTGAAATTGTTAGTTTATTTTTTAGTTGTTATGTTTCATTTTCGTAGTGACAGACGATTGTTTTTGTGTGCTCAAATTTTCCCTCGAAAATGACAGTCAGTTCTGTCTCGAAAACATCAAAAAACGTTGAAAAAACGCTGCTGCCCCCTACTCCCCCACCCACCCCCCACCCTCCGACGCGTCGGCCCGTGTTACTTCTTTGGATAGAATGAACCAATTTCACTGACCTCTATATATGGACTGGCTATACACCGTGACATAATGAGGCGATTTGATTATCGCCATTTTGCCGCTGACAGCAGAACTTAACGTCCACGGAACTAATAATAGAGATAAGACAAAGCGAAAAAACATATCGATAAGAATTCTATACCCAGGCCTACCCGTAACGTCCATTCTATTTATGTCTCATATTAATATAATGCCATACAATAAATAAATGTATTAATTAATACCTAGGCCTCAGACGCAAGATTTACACCTCATAGAGTAGACTCTGCGTTGAATTATCTACGTTTTTATTCGTAACTACAGAACGGAGTTTGTTCCGGGTTTCAAATGAGAAAACACCTACGTATACCTACATCACGGAGGCAAGAACGGATTATGTCGGACTTGCACCTACTAAAACCCCAAGATGTTTCACCTTCACCACACACTGATAGGGCCACGGAAACGCTTTAAGGCACATCCACGGCGCCACTAGCGTGGACCCCTCCTTAGTTGAGGAGGAAACGAGCACTGGGAGCACCAAGTGGTACAGTCCCGCCAAAGTCGCGTAGGATAGTCGAATGGCGCATTACCATACCAACACTTCGGCCTTGTGAGTCGTCCTACGTTTACCATGGGTAAGCCACGGCTACTAACCCCCCCCCCCCCATAAATTGGTCATACTAATTATACAGATTTAACAAACTTATGTCTTGTAAACACAAAGTAATCATCAGGCGACCTTTCTGCACTTGGCTATGGCCCTTGAGTCTGGGAGAAAATAAGGAGAGAAGAAATAAAAAAAACATTCTAAATAATAATCTAATACTTTTATACTTACTGGTACTGGTACTACCAGAAAATATTTTTCAAAGTGGTGCGTTTCTCATGTCCAATAAAACAGTTGTTACGGCCTACGGTTGCTCCCTTAAAGGATCCAATCCCCTGGGGCCCATCAGCAGAAGACTTCCCGAGCAAACGTAGGTCGGGCCTCCTAAGGCCACGTGGAATCTCTCTAATTACACTAAAATATATGGGGGAGCGTTATACTACGGCCAGTCGACCGGAAGGAATTTGGCGGAGTTCACTTACCTCTATCCAAGGCGACTGGTCCCTCCGGAGTCGGTCAGGTCGCATGTGGTTGTGTAGTGCAAGGGAAAGAATCGTGATGTGGTGTGTATCTGGGTGTGACTGATGGTGATTGAACCTAGACCTTAGCCGTCGGCAGCAGCCCGAGCGTCGACACCGCTCCAACTTGAGGGGGCCTTTCGAGGTTATCCACAGTCACTTTCTTGGTTCACCACGATGACAGTCACTTAACTCTATCGTACTATTAACTAGCTTACCGAAGCTACTAACTATCGCGGGGTATAAGGTTACCGCACAAAACACGCCCGGAGTTTCTGGGTCAAAGGTCACTACCGGTTCGCGTGGCAACAGATAGTTCTAAATACGGAGGCCGCACTAGCTTATATTGTCGAATGCACTTATACAGATTCTGAGTCGGACCCAATAAGTCCCGGGAAAGGCTATCCAAACAGGGAATGCGCGTTATAATTCCTAGACAGGATATTTACTAGACGCCCTAACTATTCCGCGGTTCCCGCACAAAATTAACAGCGTGCAAACATTAGCGCATCTGGCCGATGACTGACTCGCTTGCGACCCGCGCGCCACTGCCACGCTCGGAAGAACTTCAGACCGGAATCGCGCCGAGCCGAGTGACATCTGGTGTCGATTCCGACAACAGAGTTTTGCGCGAACAACAGTCTTCGGTGAAGTATTTAGAACAAAGATAATCATTTTGTTTCGGAAGCCAATTCACAATTTTTGTGCTTTTTAAACATAATTGTAGTCTAGGTTCAGTTGGAAACGTGTTAATTAATAAACATTTGATAAATATCTGTTTTCGGCGACTTTTGTTGTGAACAGATATGGTTAGAAAAGAACATCGATAAGTATTATAGACAAGGAACTCGACAACCCCATTGAATTTTATTGTTTATCAAAGCTCAGTAATATAAAGCCAAACATGTTGATAATTACGATATTAAGATTAGTACAAATGTTTAAGTGCCTATATTATCAAATAGTATCAATTTGCTTAATATTAGCTGCAAATTCACTTACTTGTGATATGTTATCCCACTTTCCTTTTAGTAACGAGTTTTACATATATGTATTACGCCCACTCACACTTTTACTAAAAATAATTCTTATTATGTAACTAAAATCAAACATAATAAAAAAAAATACTTTCACTTTTTAGTTTAAAAGATCAAAATACAGAGATACGATTTAAATAATACAACAGACTGGCATATTATGGCAATTTTAGTTCCCGGTACGGACAATGAGGGCGCTTCAAATCGGCATAAGCATTTAGTATGGCATAGCCAGTCCAGCATACTATATATAGAGGTCAGTGACCAATTTTAATAAAAGCACAGATGAAATAATCTTACTACGTATATAATACTAAGACTAAATGTTACTCGAAGATACGCGTTATAATTTTCTTAACAAATCTTTAAAAAAATATTAGTATTTTATACGTGATACGTTCATAAACAAACAGACAGACAATTGTTTAATTACTTATTTTTAGTCTCTCTCATTAATTTTTGCCACAAAAATATAAAATGTACAGACACCTGAAATTTACATCTTTATTATATATATATATATATCTTTCGCACTCTACCTCCTATCGCAGCCAAAGCTGCAGTCGTGATCACAGTCTTCTACAGGTATCTTTGTGCATGTATTTTTTTTACTTAGCAGGAAAATAATAATTTTAATTTTTACCGGTCAGATAAATATCCGTAAATTAAGCTACCCACTAGGATTCCTAGCTGTAGCATCGATTGCGCTAGGCTGGCCAATTGTGTCCTGCTGCAAATGAGATGCCAACTACTAGTAACGGAGTCGACGATAGTGCTTGTGTCATATTCAGGATTCTCACATGGACAACAATTTGTATAATTTAAGGCTTGTTCATCTAAACACACATAGTTAACACTTGGTAATATAAAAACAACATTTGTCAACTGAAATTCATTAGGATAACGTCCAATTGTAATTAAAAATAATATCCATGTTTGGTATAGTCCGAACCGACCAATAATGTTTTCAATAGCGTCCTCGGCAGACATCGTTTTTAAACAAATAGAAAACGAATACTTCTCTCTCTATATATTGTTTTGCGTAATCTTTAAGTATGTCTTATTTCATGATAAACGACGAGTATCGGAATTATGTGCAATATAATAGTATCAATTCAATGATTTCATACGAGATATTTTATCTCGACGTTTAGATAAAATTCAAAGTACGTAGGTATAAAGAAACTGATAAACTGATTATACTTTTGCACACATCGAATGCAAAGCGGAGATGTAGTGCTCTATTGTCACCAAATCAAAAAACATATGTGCAGTTCACACGCGGTAGAAGTGAAACAAACAAAAATATTTCACAACAAATGATTTATTTAATTACAGTCGAATTGTGAACCGGAGAATCTCTTTTGAAGTCAACTAATAAAATGTAAAGAAAAAAATTATTGGCGCGGCTGTGGATTGACATCTCGCTTATAGAGTTTATCTTCTTTTCTTAAAGTGTCGTGTTGATGGAGTAACTTTCGTTCGTAAGGGTTAATATGCTGTGCCTAATAATAACTCTCTTAAATCACATTTTAATTTTCAAGACTTTTTTGTCACAAAATACCTTATTGTGGCTAAAGTACAAGACAATTTTATGATAATAAAGTTTGCTCTTTATAGCATGTTTTTTGCACGCATAGTTTAAGAGATAATGAAAAATTAAAATAATTCAACACTCGGCTCAGCGTGCGAACGACGCCTAGCCACCCGATGAGAACAGAAAGAGAATAAGCGAGGTGTCATGTCGTGCGGCTCAAAGCATGATATACGCGGGTGATACTATCTCGGCCTCCTCTGTGTATGTTGCTTTAAAAGGGCTAATAAAGCTTTTAAATGTTAAAGTAAAAATTAATAAATTACCAATTTATTATCCAATAGACAAAATTAATTATATTGTGTAAAATTATTATATCATCCAAAACATTTTCAACAATCCACAATTTCATATATTACCGATTTATATTAAATTAGTCTATTTTACGGACCACCTTGAGAGTCAATTAATTTTTGTTTTCTAGTTCAATAAAATGATTTTACTTAAAGGATTCATTGTATAGGTAAAATATTTTATCGAACTAAAATTGATTGAATTCACTAGACGTTGCTGTTACAAATCAATTTTAGTCGAAAGAAAATAATCTTTTGATATAATATATTCTTTCGGCTCTACATGTCTAAAAATATGGATTGCAAAATTTATTTGCTATAAAATTAAACTTTTATGTTATTTTTTATGCGGCGCTTGTGGTTGAAAATTATCAAATTAAATAAATCATTTGCAGTGAAATGTTTTTGTTTTATATTTCATTTGAAGGTTTCACTTCTACCGTGTGTGGACTGCACACGTGTTTATTTATTTTATTAATTATTTGACAATTTGTTTTGCTAACGTTATACGAATCACCGGTATCAAGCAGTCAAAAAAAAATCGCGTTAATTTAACAGAAACAATTTTTTGCAGCTTTAAACGAAATACGCGTCTCTGTAATTAATAAACATAAATTAATTATTCCAAATATTACGTGAGCGTTCGAGGTGTGCACTTTTGAATTTTCAAAATAATAATATTTCGAATTTTCCGAATATAAAAAAATATTATTATTATTAATTTTTACAGCAGAAAGAGAAAACGTGCATACGGTTTACATGATGGTAAGTGTCGACTGCCGCCCATGAACACCTGCCACACCATGGGAATTGCAGTTTATGGCAATGCAAACAAAAAATTGTCACGTGATACATGATGTGTGCGAAATTCATGCCGCACGGGTCCGTTGACTAATCCGTGGTTCACTAAGCCTGCCTGACTATGTACCGCAGAGTCTGTGTCCAAAATAGTAGTAGTATAGTGCAAAATTACAAATTATTCGTTTTTAGACGTGGTCATGTTTTAATCGTTTTCGTGTCTATCACACTGCATAAATGTATATGTCCAATTTTATTGCGTAAACGTTTCATCGAAAGGGAAACAAATCAGGAGATGGGCAGCAGCGTCTTCATAATATCGACTCAAAATAAAAAAAGGTTTCCAATCCTCTTACCAAGCATGGCAACCATGGTGGTAAAGTAATGCTACTGCTATATTATGGCTGCAGCACGAATGGGTCGGCTCGACTGGGGTGGGACCACGCTCTCACAGAATACCATCGTAAAATTGCGGCTTAATGCTGCTGTGTTTCGTATGGTGAGTGTAGAGAATCGGACACCCTTTTTCTGGAAACGAGATATTCCACCTCAGTCCTCGTGATAACGTATCTGCATTTTGATTCTTAATTGAGGATAAATGTAGATGTCTATGGGCCACAGCATCCACTTAATGCAATGGGGACTGTATGCTCGTTTGTCAACCTCATTCTATAAAAAAATATAGCAAAACTGCTTAACATAGGCTCCCCTTTATAGGGGAGCCTATGTTAGGTTTTTAAGTATAGGTTTAATAGGCTGTAACGGTAATGGTAACGGTAAACATTTTATCGATGGGTAGGTTAGATAAGCCAACTACTTCATACTTTCGAGCTAGCGCCTATACTTGTGGTCTTGTTCAGCCGATAGATTTAGAATAATCTGTCCGCTGCTGCTTGTGGCGATTGGTCTGCTCGGTAAACCCGAACAGGTAAACAAAACACATTTATTACCTTTAATTTTTAATTGTTTCTTTTGCCGTTTCGTCACCTGGCAGAGGAACCTTATTTTGAAACGTTAACAGATTAAAGGCAAAATGAAGTTTGTAAAAATAAGTTTTAATTTCTTTCGTTGAAAAATAAAAAGTTTCATTACAAAAAATAATAATAATAATAATAATAAATATTTATTTCATTTCCAATGACACATGTTTACATACAGGAACAAATATGATTACAATTAAATAAAGTAACAATAAGTCTAACAAAAATAACATGCTATGATAAAATTAAAACTATGTGTAGCTTCATAATGTAGAATCTACAAAAGAAAAATAGAAAAGTCAAGTTTATAATATTAGCTACCTGCCTGAACTAGGTTGAGTATCTGTATTTCAGACATCACTTACACAATGGGTTTAATATTGTAGAACACTATATATTTAAATAATTAAACTACATTGTATAATAAATAAAATAACTAAATAAAAATTAATTGTTACCTACAATTAATACAAACTATTTTAGAATTTCTAACAACTTCTCTTTGTCTTCGTAATTTAATTTATTTAGAAATTCCCTTACTCTTATATTACAGTTCTTATAACTTAGATTATATACCTTTAGCGACTTGTTGAGCTTGTTATATAGAAAGGGTCCTAAAAATATGTAAAATTTGTTCACAAATGCGTGTTTGGTTTAAGGATACAAACTAAGTCGATTCTTCTCCTGTCTATGGATTTTAAGTTAAATGGAAGTTCGGTATGCTGTTTTAATATGATGTTCAGGATAAACAACTGACGGACATTTAGTAAACTACATGCCAAGTAAAGTTGATGTGTAGGAAACATGAATGGACGGAAAGTGGCTTCCTTCAAAACTGCTCTCTGAGCACGTTCTAATGGGAGCAATATTGTTTTAGAAGCACCACCCCAGGAAGTAATGCCATAAGTGAGTATGGATTGACACAAAGCTAAATAGACCTGTCTTATCAATTTGAAGTCAGCGATGTTACGAAGATATTTAAAAATATGTATTAATTTACGAACTCTAGCACAAAGTAAATCGATGTGCTTGCGGAAATTTAAATTTGTGTCAAGCGTGATACCTAAATATTTTATATTGTCTGTTTTTGTTGATGTGGGACATGCACATGCAGTGTCATTATACGAGTTACAATGATGAGCGTAGATATTTAGGTGAGTAGGTATGTTATTATTTCTCATTAAAAATAACATATATTGTGTTTTATCAGCGTTTAAACGTAGGAGATTATTAAAAAGCCAATTAGATACTATCTTAAAGCCTTGCTGAGCGTATTTATAAACCTCATCTCGTGATTTAGCTGAGAATAACAGGGCTGTGTCATCCGCATACGACATTATGACACCATTTTGAAGTTGAAGACTGCAGAAGTCATTTATATAAATTAGGAACAATGTAGCCCCAGGATACTGCCCTGTGGGATTCCGTATGAGCTGTTTTGTAATACAGTACTTGTATACTCAACGATTTTTACACATTGAAAGCGATCACTGAAGTAATCGGTAAAAATTTGTAGTTGAGTTCCCCTTATGCCAAGTGTTTCAAGCTTTTGCAATAGTATAGGGCAATAAATAGTATCAAATGCTTTAGCAAGGTCTAAAAAGATCCCAATTGAGTGCATACCATTGTCAAGATTACTTGTGACATAATCTGTCAATTGGTGCAAGGCATCATTACATGATCTCTTAGGCCTAAAACCAAATTGTCTGTCTGACAGTAAGTTGTTAGTTTCCAGGTATTTTATTAACCTGGTATTTATGATCTTTTCTAAAATTTTAGATAAACCAGATAAAACTGAAATCGGCCTATAGTTACTAACTAAGTTTTTATTACCAGCTTTGTAAATAGGAGAAATCACTGCTTTTTTAAAAACTTTCGGGAAAATACCATTTGATAGGCATAATTGAAAAATAGGTGTTAACGGGGCGGCCAGTAAATGTTTAAATCTTTTGAGTATGCGATTAGGTATATCGTCCCATCCAACTGCACAATCTTCTTTTAAGCCAGATATTATACTTAAAATCTCATCAGTATCGGCATTTAACAATACAAAAGAATTTAACTTAGAAAAGGATGTGGGCATAAAAATTGAATTACCAGTGTTGCTTAATTTTAAAGTTGTCTCTGCTATTTTTTTGCCAACATTAATAATTTGTTTGGGCTTTTGTCTAATGACTGTCATTATCAGATCAAGTGGAGGTCCAAGATTTTTTGAACTAAAGGTATTATTTTTAATGAACTTCCATACAAGTTTAATGTTTTTACCGGCCTTTTGTAAAACATTTTTATCATATTGTATTTTGAGGTTTTTTAATAGTTTATTGCAAAAATTCCTATATCTTTTATAAGTAGCAGAAAGTATTAAATTATCAGGAGAAAGTTTAGATTTTAAATGAAGTTTGTCTCTATTTCTTATACAGCGGACGAGACCAGATGTTATCCAAGGTTTAATATTATAATACTTACGTGACAGTTTTATTGTTGATGTATTATTCATTATTGCGTATTGTAAAGAATTTATAAAGTAACTCAAGGACGTATTTGCATCGTCAGAGCAATAAACAAAGTCAAAATTAATGCTAGGAATATCATTTTCAAGGTTCGTCATATGGACTTTAGTGTAGTAAAATTATTATTTTATATTATAATATATTTTATATTATAATATAAATATATATTTATAACAGAGTATGGATAATGGATAGTTAAACATACTACGTACCAATAATATAATACATTCTTTAGCCAAACAATTTAACGTTAAGTTTGATATAAAACATGTAAATGAAAAATATCCTGTTCTATCAGTAATAAAAATCTAGAGTATGGATATGTCATGTCACCCTGGTTTGGCCGCATTTCAGCTTTTAGTCGTAATAGATATGAATGATGCGGTGATAAATAATGGATTATAAAAACGAGTAGGTATCCGATAAAGAAAGGGTCACCGCGAGCTAACAGTGACACTTTAAATGTTTTCGGCTGAACGTAAAATCTGTAAAAGGCTTTTGGTGCATCCTGTAAAAAACATTATTCAATAAATTTTGGAAATTCAATAATTTTTTTTTCTTTAGATTTTATCAGCCGACTTTAAAATAGATTCCCCGTTTTTCAGTTCGACTGTATTGCTTGTACGTATTTTGCGAGATATCTTTGCCAATTGTGTTAATGATTTATTTTTAAATCAAATAGTCTAGACCTCAAGGGTAAATAAGCAAAAATGGACATGATTCTTATCTTAAATATGTTTTGGCAAGACGAATGACAAATCCCTATATTTATTGTTCATAATTTTTACGCGATTTCTTATGTATACGCGAATTTAAAGTTAAAGTTAAAGCCTATATACCTGCCTAAAGCCTGCTGGGCACAGGCTTCTTCTTATTTCTGAGAGGGTTTTAGGGCAAGGCAATGTCCACCGCATTGCCCCACTGGTGTTGGCGAACTTCACATGCATTAGAAATATTTTTTTCTTATTTCTCAAACATACATATTTCCTCAGGCTGTTTTCCTTCACCGCCGGGCACGTGGTTTATTACACATTTAAATAAATAGGTATAGGACAAGGTGACGTTATTACCTCGAAACTCTTCACCGCTGCATTGGAAGACGTTTTCAAGCTAGGTTACATGAAAAAAAAACATAATATAGTGTAAATAAAGTACAGTAGATTGGGTCCATGAATGATTAGGATTTAAGTTTACGATGGTGTTGTAGATTAAATGATTCACGTGAAAAGTAAAAAAATAAAACTTATTACGTATTTAAAAAATATATATACTGTCAATATCTATATTTCTATATCAAGCTATATCTATGTCGTCCAAAAATATTAGAAATAAATATCGGAGCCGCCGTAGTGTGCGTTTTGTTGTCGTGACTTCTACAAATTAAAAATATAATTTCCTATCAATTAATATGTATATATATAAGATAAGTATTAAGACAATTTTAAGAAATGGATAAGATATTATGATAATTTTATTTATTTAATACATGTGTTATTTATTTTTAACTGTTTAATTTAATGATCAAAAATTAAATTACCTATCTGTAGAGTGACACCCCACTGATACTACGTAGTACTATTATTTATTCTGTGCTTGCACTCCCGGAGTACGCTAGCTGGTAGGTATGTAACGCGAGAACTTGAATGAGTGATGGAGCCCTGCTATAAGCACGCTCACTCGCGGTCAGCTTGGCGTGATACAAATGAACTGAAGCCAGCAAATTACCGTGCGCACAGAAAAATCCGTGGGCATGGGCATATTCTGAAGGTTTTATGATGACCAGATCGGTTTTCAGTAACCGAAATAGTTAGGATGGTCTAGCTTTATGTTTATCTAATTTAGCACGCTACGTGTTACATTCTAAAATAAAGTTGAAGCACCCAAACGTCACGAATTAAAATAAATTAAACAAAATAAAATCCGTAAAATTTATTTTATTAAATGTGTAGTATTCGTGTAATAAATCATTGAGTACAACATTGTTTTATTTACTAAATCTAAAAATCTTACTTCCAGTCAAAAATCATTGAATTCTAAATACTGGGTACAGGTAACTTGGTCATTTATTGAAATTGGTGTTAATGCTGCTTGTAGGTTTTCTTGAAGTACGCAGATATTTTCATCTTCTGGTTGCAGTTGGTTATGCTTTTTCCGTTCTGCCTTGTTTTTTATTGCCTGTAAAATATATGGCCGATTTATAATGTTGTACCTAATTGGGAGTTTTGCTGGTTTTTTAATTGTCTGAAATCATGATAAAATGAGTAATAATACTGTTTTTAATATTACACAGTCTGGTATCAAGCCACAAACCACAATAAATCTGAAAGGGTATTTCAACTAGTTACTTCTTGAGCCCTTTCAAATGAACCCAAACACGATGGTGTTTCGTAGTGGCATAACTGAGACCTTTTACCCCACCTTCTAAGTCTACCATTATGAAGGTAATATCATCACAGTGACTTAGGTCTTTATGAGTCCTTTCAAATGAGTTCAAACACGATCTTTCTATCTAATGCCGCCATTGAGATTCTATACCCATCTTCGGATTGCACCATCAGAAAGGTAAAATCATCACAGTGATCTAGGTCTTTATGAGCCCTTTCAAATGAGTTCAAACACGATCGTTCTAACAATACCGCCACTGAGATCCTATACCCACCTTCGGATTGCACCATCAGAAAGGTGAGGTCATAACAGTCACCTAGGTTTTAATGAGCCCTTTCAAATGAGTTCAAACACGATCTTTTTATCTAATGCCGCCACTGAGCTTCTATACCCATCTTCGGATTGCACCATCAGAAAGGTAAAATCATCACAGTAACCTAGGTCTTTATGAGCCCTTTCAAATTAGTTCAAACACGATCGTTCTATCTAGTGCCACCACTGAGCTCCTATACTCATCTTCGATTGCACCATCAGAAAGGTGAGGTCATAACAGTCACCCAGGTCTTTATGAGCCCTTTCAAATGAGTTCAAACACGATCTTTATATCTAGTGCCGCCACTGAGATTCTATACCCATCTTCGGACTGCACCATCAGAAAGGTGAGGTCAAAACAGTCACCTAGGTCTTTATGAGCCCTTTCAAATGAGTTCAAACTCGATCGTTCTATATAGTGCCGTTACTGAGATCCTATACCCACCTTCGGATTGTACCAACAGAAACGTGATATCATCACAGTCATCTGGGTATCCATTAACCTTTTTAAAAATTAGTACAAACACGATAGTTCTACGTAGTAGCGTCACTGATATTCTTTACCCACCTTCTGAGTCCACCATATGGAAGGTGACACCATCATAGTCACCTTGGTCTCCATCCTCCGTCAAACAAACATCTCTAAATATATAAAATAATATAAAATGTAAACAGCATAGAAATAATGTAAGCTAGTAAGTACTTACCAATAATTGAAACGAACTGAAACCAGCGGATTACGTTGCGCCCAGAAAAATTCGTGGATTGCCGTCAGTTAAAAATTTCAACTTAAGATTTCATACCCACGATCAGTTTTTGGATGTACGTCAGTTCAGCTGAGCAGTTTAACTGACAGCAGGCCCGAAAAAATCCGTGTGTTGCCGTCAGTTAAAAATTTCAACTTAAGATTTCACATTCACGGTCAGTATTTGGATGTACGTCAGTTAAACTGATCAGTTTAACTGACCGTGTATGGCCACTATAAGGAATAAAATTGTACCTATGCTTCGTCAAAAGGCCAGTAAAAAGCATCTCCGGTTTTTTTACACTCACCATACGAAACACAGCAGTTACGCGGGTATTCTGTAAGAGCGTGGTCCTTCCTCGGTCGAGCAAACCCATTTCTGTTGCAAACTTTTATAGTACAAAGTATAACTTAAGCGGCCTTTTAAAATTAAACAGTAAAAACTTCATCATTCATCATCATTACAGCCCTTCACAAGTCCACTGCTGAACATAGGCCTCCCCCAAAGAATGCCACAAAGCACGGTCCTGAGCCACCTGCATCCATCGATTTCCTGCATGTCTGACCAGGTCGTCACTCCATCTCGTGGGGGGACGCCCTATACTTCGCCTACCGGTACGAGGCTGCCACTCGAGAACCTTTCTTCCCCATCGGTTGTCGGTTCTTCGAGCTATATGGCCGGCCCACTGCCACTTCAGATTACTAATCCGTTGGGCTATGTCGGTTACTCTGGTTCTACTGCGGATATACTCATTCCAAAGTTTATCACGCAGAGAAACTCCGAGCATAGCTCTCTCCATAGCTCGCTGAGCGACCTTGAGCTTCCTCATACGGCCAGCAGTGAAGGACCACGTCTCAGTTCCGTAAGTCATCACTGGCAACACGCACTGGTTGTACAATTAAAACTTATCACAATTAAACTCCTTTCAAAAATAATTTTAATAACACATAAATAATACATTAAATACTAATTTGCAATAAGTTGCGTAAACATTTTCATAAACTAAATGCTTAACATTTTATTGTAATTTACGATTAAATTAACACTTTCACTGTTCGGTTTTCAGACATAATAGTAAGACAATAGCAATGACCTACATATAGTGCATGGGACAGCGAAAGGGTTAAAATTAATTTGAAATTATTATATGAGCATTATTTATAAAAAAACAAACAATAACTTACAATTATTACAAGAAAAGATAATTTATAATAAGAGGCAAATTGTTGGTTATATTTAAATAATAACTACACAAAGGCGACGGCAGTTTCAAAAATTTCTTAACATTATTTTCCCATTAGAATGTTTTGTTGTTTTAAATGTTTTTATTACTACTATTCTTTGACTTTTCAGTTTGTTGAATTGTATTTAATAAAACGGTATTTTTAGTTTCTGGTAGGAGGAAACATAGGAATCCAGCACAAAACGCTAACACACTAAAAATAGTAATCGATAACCATTCTACTCCAATGTTCACTACAAATGGTGCTACAAAGCTACCAAATCTTCCAAACATTGAAGCAAATCCCATTGCTGAGTTGCGTATAACAGTTGGAAATATTTCCGATGAGAATAAGTATATTTGGACAAATGCCGTATAGGCGCCTACCTGACCGACTATAGCAAATGTTAACGATAAGGAATCACTACCATCTGGAATAAATATAAAAACTAGTAAAGATATCGCTGCAACCGAAAAACTTGTTATAACACTTATTTTTCTCTGTAAGTGTATAGAAGCAAATACTACTAAAATTAATCCAGGTAAAAGACATGCTGCTGAAAGCATTACATTTAAATATAAATTTCCTTGAAGACGCCCTATGTATTGGTTGATACCGTAAAAGGTATGTGCGACGCCGAACCAAACAAAAGCTGTTATAACTAAATATTTTCTAATTTTGGGCGTTTTAAACAAGTCCATATAAGAACCGTGTTGTTGTTGGCGTTCTCTTGAAGATTCTTCTTCAATTTTGTTGACGATACTTTCAATGTCATCAACGCTTCGATGGTTTCTGTAACAAAAGTAATATAAAATAAGAGACGGAATTTGTTTGCTGTAATATTAATTTATATTATAGATTTTAATATTTTAATACCTTTTTGCTATTTTTGTAAGAATACTAATGGCTTCTTTCTTTTTACCTACAGTAATTAGCCATCTGGGAGATTCTGGTAAGAGCCAAAAGTTTATTATAGTAAACACCCACGGTACAGACGTAGCTAATTGCAAATATCGCCATTCTCTGACAAAATAAGCTATAATAGGGTGGATAAAGTATCCTGTAATATAGGCAATCTCTAAAAGTCCGGTTAAATATGGTCGAAATGATTTACCACCGAGTTCTATAATAAGGATATATGAGCAGATCATTGAGCCCCCAACAGCTGTTCCAATTAGAAAACGGCAAACAAGGAACATCCAAAGTTCTGGTACAAATGCTGATGTAGCCACAAATATAACGTCTGTGATAAATGCGTAACAGCAAGCGATTCTGCGCCCGTATCTGAAAATAAGTATAAGATCATATTAGAAATAGTAAATAGAAATAAATAGAAATACATTGTTATGTTTAATTTACCACTGGTTCGGAAAATAAAATAACATCCTGTAAATTGTTCCATACATGGAAAATATCTTTGATCAGTTCAACACCGGCATCAGTTGTCCAGTTGATATCAACTGATGGGATTTTAAGTGAATGATCAAGGAATAGGTCACGAACTAAATGAGAGTTGGATTGAACCCACTCGGACTGTAATATAAATTTGTTTATTTTGCTTTGGTCTTTGATGATCTAAATAAAATTCCCTGCATTTCACGTGTTATTTATTCATCCTCTATAAAGAAAAGAGCTTATGGCTTCCGACGTTTAAGTCAAATGTAACACACCCAGATTACCAGCGTAAAATAGCAGCTCAATGTTGCTGTGTTTCGTATGGTGAGTGTAGAGTACCGTAGACCCTTTTTACTGGAAATGAGGCATTCCATCTTAGTCCTCAGGGCTGACGACGCATCTTAATTAAGGGTAGATGTAGATGTCTGTGGGCCACAGTATCCACTTACAATCTGGTGGACTGACCTAATAGACCCATCGTGAAATCAAATTGGATTTTATGGAGTAAAATGTTTACATTAAAACATTTAACATTTGATCGAGATTTTTTTCCAAAAAATTTACTATTGTTGGCAGTAGAGAAATAGATTTAAAATTGGAGGGATTCAAATGAACTACCAGATTTAAATAAAGGTATTACTTTACTATGCTTCATTAAATTAGGGACTACACCAAATTCAATACTAGTATTAAAAATAATAGCTAGTTGAATTGCGATTGTATCTATAAAAGACACAATAACTTTAACGGAAATCCTGCACAGATCTGTGGTTTTCTAGTTTTAAAATATTTTACAATATCTTTTGACAATAATTTATGAAATGTAAAATACTTTGTACAAGCCGTAGATAGAGAATCCAGTAGACTGCGGGGTCTCTTAACTGCTATCCTCCCTCATGCATCCCAGCGTTTTAAAGCATCGACGTAGAAAAGATAGATATAATAGTCGCATAAACGTAGTCACCGTAAACGTTCGTTATCATCTACGTTAATAAGTTAAACTTCGAGCTCAGATATAACATCAAGGGACAAAAGTTACGGTTCACTTAGTGCTGCCGAGAATAAAGCGAGAAAAATCTGGGATTTTCTGGGAATCTGGGAGTTTGGATTAGGTAATGCTCTTGGACGGGTATCGGTAACTATAGAAGAAGACGCAGTGAAGGCTGACGTCGAAAATATGTAGTCAGGGTCAATTTATAAAATACAGGAGTACTCATAGGGCAATCGCTCACGGATCTGCCATCGGTCATAATAAACAAATCAAGCACACAACTAACTTTATATTGCGATGATACCAAGCTGAACCGACTCGAAGTGTTCAATTTTTCAAATATTTCTATAGAAGGCTTAAACCTCATAAATGTACACGTTAAAGATACTGACTACACAGGTAACCTAGTTGTGACTAGTTATGATTACTTAAAGGAACATGATGAATGCTGCATCTTACAAGGGTAATAATAATAAATTTTTCTGGTAAGTGATTTAAACTCTCAGAAAATATGATCGTTGCACGTGCTACAGTATTTACCCGATAGCGAATGTCTAAAGGATAAGTCCAAAACATCAAAACGCAGCAAGTTGTCAATTACAAAGGATATCTTAAACGTTGTATATATTATATTAGGACCCAATGTATCTGAAGAACAAAAGGAATATTATTGGAATTGCTTAAACGATGATACTCTGATTACCTATAAACCATATCATCGTAGCATGCGGACGGAAGTGAGAGAGATAGTAGGAACATTGCTTGCGAATAATATTATAAGAGAATCTTATTCCGCTTACGCTAGCCCCATAGTTCTGGTGCATAAAAAGAATAACCAGTACCGGTTTTGCGTTAACTATAGGCCGCTCAATGAAAATGACTTAAGGCGCAGGTTGAGCAAAATGTCGCGCTAGTCGTTATTTGTGCGGTTTTCAGAAGCTATCTACTTTTTATTTAAAAGATATATCAACAAATAAAAAACACATTATATTTCTACATAATCTTGATTCCATAAAAGCTATATCCAATTTTTTTTTAAACTAATAAATATTAATATAATCTCCTTACAACGAAACCACATAAATGTGAAATTATTATTGATAACATGGATCTCCTCGTAAAGTAAGTATTATTTTATTTTGCGATTTACACCAATGGATAGACAATTTATTAATAAACATTTCTATAGTAAATTTTTTTTCAAAAGACCAAAATTTGATTTTATTAAGAAATTATTTTAAAATCTGGGCATATTCACTGCTCACGGGCTTGCTGGAGTCATTGAGCCCTGAGCTCTTCGACGCGAAGCCCGTGTCGTTAGAGCGTCGACCAGCGCCGCATACACTCACGTAATATCAGTCGATAAATAATATTACTTATTAGGTTATTTATAGGTAGTATTATTTGTTTGTTTTGGGTATAATTTTTCGTATTAGTTATACATATATTTGTTGTGTTTTTTACTGCGCGATGAAGCTTTTTGCGTGTATTTTCTTTGAAGTAAATGCAAATAAAAAAATGAAGCACCATTGGCATGTAAGGTTCGAATCCATAATTAAAATTTCGATAAATATTATAATTTACACTATAAAAGGCTAATTCAATATTATCACCCAACCACAATATCTTATCATGTACAGTACTACCTCGTTGGTCTAGTGGTTGTAGTAGTGCGACTGCTGATCATGAGGTCCCGGGTTCGAATCCTGGGTCGGGCCCAAAAGTCAGTTATGAGTTTTTCATTTATGTTGTAAGTTATAATTAGTATTACTAAGTTATAGTTTTTTGCTAAAATATAGTATATTATTTATTGCTTGTTTTTTCTTCTTTTTCAAAAAATAATTGAGTACATAAGGTGTTCTATACTTATACTTCGGTAAAAAGTATCTAAGTAGGTACTAATGTACCTATTTTTTTCTACTAAAAATTTTTAAAACTAAATTTAACTAAAAAGACTAAACTGACCATTTATTTTTTAACTCAAAACAGGACATGGGTTTATTTATACTCTAAAAACTATAACTTTATACAATTAGTGTTCACTGTAAAATTATATTCGGTATAGACGGTAATTATTAAATGCAACATATTTTTCTTAATTATTAATTACATTTGTCAGTGGATTAAATTTTCTTTAATAAAGTTAGTGATGATTTTAAATAAAAATAAAATTCTGCTCAAGTTTTTTTATTGTTATCTTTGTTAACAACATCGCCTTTAGAACTCTGGAACCGTAAGTGTTTCTTTCAGACGTCCACAATTTATTCAAAATAAAAAAAAATACTCTTTCTACCGGAGCATTCGTACCAGGTAGACATAAAATATATTCGATTAAAAAAAATTATGTTGAAGATTGTTGACTTTGAATACTTCCATCCAACGAGTTACGGGACAATTTTGTGTCCCGGAGCTTTGTTTGGGGACAATGGGACAGGTGACCGAGAAAAGGGACAGTCCCGTTCAAAACGGGACGTGTGGTCACTTTAGCTATAACCCGGCGACGGCTACGTGGGGCAGTGGCTTAGCAATTAGTTGTTGCGCTGGGAGCCGCGGGTTCGAATCCCGCACGGAACAAGTATTTGTATGGCTTACAAATAATTGTTCCGGGTCTGGATGTTTGTCCTTGTGCAATTTATGTTTGTAAACTGCCTCCACGACACAGGAGAAAATCCTAGTGTGGGGGTAACGTTTTTTTACAATTGAAATTGAAAGATTGAACCCTTATACTTCTTGTTGATTTTTGTATTAGTAGTTAGGTATATTACTTTTCAATACGTGACACGTAAAAATTAACAATAATCAAAAACACATCTACGAAACATCCTATTTATTTATTTATTATTTATTGCACCAAATATTTGTACAAAAGGCGAGCTATCTATTTATTTACCTATAGTGAATAGGTATCTTTTAAACTCATAATTTTCAATGCTTCATTTTTAATATATAATTAATTATAAAATTTCATAATTAGATAATATATGAAAATACATAATTCTAATATAATGCAACTAATATACCGAATAAAAAAATGAAAATACATTTATCGTTGTACGCTGTGTGCAAAGATATTTTATGACCTATAAAACATCTTTGGCTGTGTGTATTTCCATAAATTAGTTCATTGTGTCATGTGTTCATGTTGAAAAAATAATACTACGTTCGTACCTACAATAGGTGGTGGCGTCGTACATATTTCAAATAAGCAATATATTGAGGCGAGCGGCGTGCCGCCGGCAAAATGCTCAAGGTCGTTCGCATGGAGTAGCCCCTTAAATACATTTACCCGATGACAGTCATTGACGACCAGTTGGACTGATTGTCCGGTAAGATTACTATCGAATTCCTGTTCAAGAATCTTCATGACTCCTTACGGCTTTTGTAACACTAGAAAGCCATTATGAATACCGTTCGGACTTGTCCGGACTTGACTTGTTCGGATTAACAAATCCGGGCAAAAGAAGATTATATTTAGCGATCCCATATTCAGACAATTTACTAACCACCGGTAGTACGTTTGAATGATCACAGAAAAAACGATTATTTTTCCAGTCAGAACTAGACTACTAAGGGTATGAGATTTTAGAGTCTGGCCTCCAACCAGGACTGAAAAGATAAGATCAGTCTTGGAATTTCCAATGCCAACTAACGTTCGTCAGGTGCGTCAATTAATAATAGGTCTAGCTAGCCTTTTCTTTTTTTTTTCAATTTTGCTACACTTGCTAAGCCCCTAGCAAAATTGACAAAAGATAACGCAACTTGGCTCCAATGTTACGTTGCGTCATCTTTTACTACTGTACTGAGTAGGGAAATGCGATCCACGAAATTAAATCCCAGTTAATATTGTTACGAGCTTGGGGTTCTAGACAATTAAAAACTACCGATTGAATTACCGAAA